TTCTCATATTTCATTCCTTGTCACATCGACAAATATTTTCTGCGCCACGTCATTCTGTTATTTTATTCTCCGATTTCTCAATTTGATATTTTAAAAACATGAAATTTTATTACCACCGCATTTTTTATTTCTATATATATCGTCGACAAACATTTCATTTCAACAGTGTAAAATTGATTCCTCTTTTAAAAAGAGATGAATAAATTCACCGGAAGAAATTGTATACGAAAGCTCGTGAAAATAATTATTTTATAATTTAAAACGGAAACAATTCTACGTTAAAAACAAAATTCAAGGGAAAACAACAAAACGAATCGCGAGATCTGGAGATTCCAAATTCCAAGATAAAGTTTAGGGGCGATATTTCCAGCGGATATTTTCAGGGCACGGGTACATTTTATCGGTGAATTACACGAAAAGCGATTTCCTTTCTTGGCCGGTGAGAGCAAGTTGCCAACTTGCGGAGCGGAAACAACGTTTGTTCGTCGACGGCAAAACGTCTGGGTAGTCGCGGTAGCGAGGCCAGTGGGAAGGAAAATTAATTACGGCGAAATGGCCGATGCGCCTTTGGTTTTTCGATAATTAAAAGGCCGATACGAACGATGAAATTGGCCTCCGTGTAAAATTCAATTCACCGGCCACTTTTAATTACCAATTCATCCGCCATTTTCGTGCTTTCGGTGACATGGGATGGATGTGTAAAAGGGGGGAATTATTCCCCGTGTTAAAGATTTTACGATGAGAATTTTAACGTTGTTAAGAAAAGAAAAAAAAAAAGTAACATCTTCTTATTAATAATGATAACGAGGAATTTTTATTTCGTTTCTCTACTTTATAAAAGTGTAAATTTAAATTAAGTAGTGAAATTGAATAAGAATATTAGTAGAATAAGGTAATTGTGGGCAGTCGAGTAAAGAAAAAAAAAGGCATGGCCATATGATGAAATAAATAATAATATAGGTCAGTTAGAAATATTAGATCAATTATTGAAGCGGATAAAACAAATGAAATAAGACAAAGTAAAATATAATTTTACGATGTGGTTGTTGTATTGATTAAATTTGTCGTCTTTTTGTTAAAATGAGAAAAGAAAAGAAGAAGTAATTCAACAAGTTCGTTCAAATAGTATAAATTAAAAATATAACAACCCAACTTCATGTTTTTCTAAAAAAGAGATACCAACATATTTTCGTTTGTGAATTGAAACGTTAAATTATTCCCCCCAAAGTAGAAATTTCATTATGGAGGATAAAATATGTACACCTAGAATGTTCAGCAATTTCTCTCGAATTTTTTTTCCTTTCTTTCTTTTCTTCTTCTTTTTTTTTTTTTTCTTTTACGAAATAACTTTGGCGCGAATTTTGAATCGAACGATCTCTTTTTCCAGGTCTCGATGCAACCCGACGTGCCGACCTGTGTCGCTTTCCTGTCACTGTTTCATTATTTCCAGCTGACCAATTACTTCTGGATGTTCGTCGAAGGTAATCACGCTTGATCTCTCGATAATTCGCGATGCCAAGTGTCCATTTATATCGCTCGAATCGATTTCACTCGATCGAATAATATCTATTAATCAAATCCACTCGTTCGTTTATTTATAATTTTTCATTATTATCCATTTAATAGTATAATCGTACGCTTATTCTTCCAGGTCTCTATCTGTACCTGTTGGTCGTAAAGACTTTCACGGGCGACAATATCAAGCTGAGGCTGTGTCTTATTATAGGCTGGGGTAAAGTTTCACCATCTTATCGTCTTTTTTTTTTTACAAAAAAAAAAAAAAATAGATACAAAAATATCGCACGTTTAATTTTTTTTCTCAACGAATAGGTCGTTTCGAAACGACGAGAATGTAGAATAAAAATATTTTTATCGAATATCCGGAGTTGACGATTTTTCACTGGATCTGGAATAACAATCAAGCTAAACTCGAGGAAAACGAGTATCATCGGCAGTGATGCTTTATATTATTTCGTGCGGCGGAAGAGGAAGAGGAAGTTGCACGAGTAGTAACCGTAGTGTGACTACTTTTTTCCAAAATTCATATTCGCACGAGGTGCGAAACTTGTTCTAACAATCGAGAATATCCTGCTTCGATTTCGAAGCACTTGAAATCAATATCGACCGCTATTCAGTCTGCATACTGCACACGTGTCCCTGGTGCAAAAAAAAATTTGAATAAAAGAATAAAAAAAAAAAGTGACGAGAGATGATAAAAGTAACGAGAAAGAAGAAACGAGATTCGATGAATAAAATGATGAGGTTTGGAAGGGAGAGAAGATGAATTCGCTCGTCATTCCTATGATCCCTTATAGTATGTTATTAAATCAAAGTGCTTTCCCCCTCTCCCCATTTGTTGAATTATTTTACTGCGAATATACGCTTCGCACTTATCTGGCAAATTTTATTCTCCTAGATATAATTTATAACAATTTTGTAACAAATATTTTAATATTAATTAATTTTCGCGTTAATTATTAGTATTGAGAATATTCTTTTTAACGTAAGAAAAATAATAAAAAAATTAGCCTCATTTCTTGTAACCTATGAATATAAGTTAATGTAATTGTATCAAGTGTGTGATGACTCGTTGTCAATATATTACTCGAACATATTTTGCATACAATTTCAGGTATACCGGTTCTGTTTATCACCATGTGGTGCATCGCCAAGTCATTGGACCACAGCACAACGAGTCAGGTACGAGAAAATATACTCATAACCATTGCGTATCAAATCGTTGTTATCGTACAAAACTTTGCCCAAACTTCGAGGCTTATGGCATAATTTTAATTAATCGCAAAATTTTTATAAAAGTTTTAGAAGTTTTAGAATAATTTCAAACTGATAAAATCAAGCCACTGATAAATTCTGCAAGAGAGAACTTTTGCTATTCAACAATTTATATAATAATTTTCTTCGAATAATTCTTTTCTGAATCAGGATATAATGTCGAAAGATACGAGAAGTATATTGAAAAATTATATAACAGTGAAAAAACTTTTTTAANACCTTATCTTCGTTCTTTTTTTCCAGATAGGATCTCAAAGTCGAATAC